GAGTCATTCCTATTGCACATGTTGGATGTAAACTCGATGAACAAGGATTCAGTAATCAACCTCTGTTGCTGTCCACCTACCTCTATTAATTTTTAGAATTTTGACTCTGTCCCACCCTATTGTGTGTTTGTTTGTTAGTGCATGCAGTGCAACTGATGAGCTTACCTTACCTTAGCTAAATTCTTATGTTCGGACAATCTGACCACCCCTGAGCCACTAGTTTGACCTATGTAGTTGACCTCACTCACAGTCATTGCAAGGTATTTTGTAAATTATATTATTTTGTCTAATTGGGTCGACATACAAGGTCCTACCGAACTTGTCCTGCCTGAGTAATTTTGTAGGTTTAAATGCCACACTAATTCCTGCTTTATAAGGAATCCTACGTAGGATCTCAGACGTCTCCTCCTTATATGGTAAAACTACTGCAGATGCTTTATATTCTTCCTTATTTATGTTAACATTATTAGTTTCACCATTATTTTTATTTTGTTTCGACCTTTTCTGATCTTCCTAATGAATTTCTTCTGTTTGTTTCATTTCATCATTTGGGTGTTTTGTCATACTACTTAGTGCTATTGCTCGGTTTGCTAGACAGACACTTAACTTAACCTGCCTTTACAGAAAGGTAACAGATGAGATGAATTAAAGTCTAAATATCTATTAGCAGAATGTGTTGGCTTTTTATAAACGCCAGTGTGCGGTTTACCTTCTTCTGTTCATTTTATTTTACAATCTAACACCATAGCTAGTTCTCCTTTTTCATTTTCCGATTCAAATGTGAATTTTATTCCCTCCACTAGTGAGTTTATGTGTGTCAAGAAGCTAGAGATACGTTCTGTTTTTAACACTGTGAATGAAGGTGTAATCCACATATCTCCAGCATATTTTTGGAGTAGGATTAAATGTATTAAGAGTTATATTTCCACAGCCGTCCATAAAGATATCTACTAAGATTGGGGATATTGGTGATCCATCCCGTTGCTATACCTTCTGTTTGTCTATATATTTTGCCTTGGAATTTAAAGATAGTAGATGTGAGTCACAACTGAATCCCTAGAATAATTTCTTCAATGGGCTGCTTTGTCCTATGAGTGAGTTCCTGATCAGCAGTTAGTTCTCTTTTAACTGCTTCTAAGGCCATATTGATTGGTATATTAGTATAAAGACTAGTTATATCAAAACTAACCATTGTTTCATCATTCTCTAGTTGAATGTCATTTAGTTTATTTTTCATCTCATATGAATTAGTCAGTCTAGAGTTGAACGATTTCTAATGGGGCATAATATTAGTGGTAAGTGTTTTGATAATTCATAAGTAGAGGTATTTCTGAGATCAACTATTGGTCTTATAGGGTGACCTGTCTTATGTATTTTTATATTCATCGATAAATATTACCGTGTAACTATGGGAGACTTCGTGAAATAAATTTTCGCCATCATGGAAGAAATAAATCCCCTTCAAATTAGTTCCTAATCAATGAATCCACGCCAATTAACACAATTTTCAAAGGAACGCGTTATTTTTATGGGATTCAAATGATAACATGTTAATTAGTCAAAATTTTGGTGTAATGGGAATGTTAAGGCGACACTTCTGTTTGCTAAGATAATCTACTGTTGATGCTTTCATAATTGTCTTTTTGAGGAGGATGATCTCAAAGCTTATTCAAGTACTGGTTTGTAGGGATTTGATTGATTGATTACAGGATCTCATCATGAGCAGATATCAGTTAGAGAACCATTGGAAATCCAGCTGGGAGTGCTGGACAGCTGTTTCCTCAGCCCAGTTTGGGACTCTTCTGGAGTAGGCATCCACTGTCAGGGTTCGAACACAGAACCTTCTGCTTACAAGGTGAGATAGCTGATAGACCATTAAGCCACTGGGACCCAACCCAATGGGCCATGAATTCTAACTTCTGCCAAATTAAGAGATAGCGCGACCGCTTGCCAATTTCTTCAGCGAGTATTTGTCCTCACACCAGACCTGCTGCACCCTACAGGTGATGACTTCCCACTAGAACCCAGGTAACTACCTACCCGAATAGGAGCAGTCGCTGGTGAGCATCTCACTGGTATTCAATTGAATTGTCAGAAGTAAGAATTCATGGACTGGCCATTAGATCGGCGGGTCCCAGTCGCTTAATGGTCTACAAGCTGGCTAGCTTTCTAATCAGAAGGCGCTGGGTTCGAACCCTGACAGTCGGGTGGGTGTGTACTGATAAAGAGTCCCAGACTAGGCTGTGGTTCTCCAATGGTTCTCTAACCGGTGTGAGCTTATGATGAGATCCCGTAACCACAAGTGCTTATAGTGCCATAAAATCTTACGAAATTTAAGCAGTTTCCGGTTTTGCTTTCTACTAAGATCAGCGTTCTATTTGTTTCTGGGCTTTTGTAGAGGATTCAACTGAGTTTGATACGTCTTAGCCATTCAGCTAAAATACTTAATGTAAACGCGATCTAATCATTTATGAACCTCAATTTTCTTCCTTGTATTTTTCTACATTTATAGGAAAACGAGAATTTGCGGACAGCGATTGCAGATAATGAACGATTAGAACTGTACAAAATGTTGGATAATTCTGAGTTAAGAATTAAAGCATTAGAAGAAGAAGTGGGTTAAATATAAACCATCTTGTTCTAATTGTTTATTTATCCTGACTAACTGAGTGATTTTAACAGAGAACTTGCCATATTCCATGTAGCCTACAAAGGGACATAAAAGGAGAAAAGCAAGAATTTCAAAAGATCGATAGTAAGCAGAAATGTGAGGGAGAAGCAAGAGTAGCACATGAAGATTAATAGTAGATCACTAAGAGTGATTGCATCTGCACTATTGAGAAGGACTATGAACCATTTCAGCAATTGTCTTCAGCCTTCATTGCTTCTTAGAATCCCGATGACCACAACAAGGAAGGCCGCACCACTTTGTATGGCTTAGTCTGACAGTCAAAGATTTCGTGACCATCAGTAGCTCTTTTCCGGCCTGATCCTACGTCAGTTAGCTAACAGTGCCTGCAGAGGAAGGCGATGGCTTCGCAACCTCACTGACCGATTTTCCCTCCTGTCCAACACTCGACGCCTGTCCGACCTTAGTATTACTCATCCTATTATACTGGACAAGAACAACAACATCAGACAACCATCAGTATAAATGGGAGGAACCTGAAAGAAGCAACCTCCTTCACCATCCTACCTGGGAAGCATCGTTTCAACTACAGGCGAACGGAACTGACGAGGATATCACAGCAAGAATCGGAAAAGCAAGACAAGCTTTCACTACTCTGAAGTCTGTGTGGAGGTCAACATCATTCAGCATCAAAAATAAGATCCGGATATTCAACTCCAATGTGAAGTCAGTCAGTGCTACTAAACGGATCAGAGACTTACACTGCGCGTCATAAAGAGCATCTCAAACAAACTACAGACCTTCATTAACAGTTGTCTTCGTTCAATACTCAAGATCAGATGGCCAGAAAAGATCAGCAACAGGGATCTTTGGGAGTGAACCAACACAGCAGGAACCGATTGTGAAACAAATAGGCAGGAATAAATGGAGGTGGATTGGCCATACTCTGAGGAAACCATCAAGTGACATCACTAGACAAGCCATTGCTCGAGTGGAACCCGAAAGAGAAGCAGCGAGTTGATCGTCAGTGCAAGGGTGACTTGGAGGAGGTCATGTGAAGAGGAGATGAAAGCATGTGGGCAGACTTTGAGCCAGGTGAAAACTCTAACAGAGAACCGAACGCAATGGAGACGCACGGCTGAAGCCCTATGTTCCTCTAGGAATCAAAGGATACAATAATAATAATATTATACTACCAGTTGTTCCTAACTTCAACATAAAGATTTTTGGGTGTATTATCAGTGAAACTCACGAAGATTGACGTCCTATTAGACACAGTCAGTCGGATCTGTGATGTTCATCCTGGTGGTCACTTAGGTCACTTAATTGGAAATAGAAGTGATGTCCCTAACAGTCATTAGATTAGACAATGACATTTTTTATCAATTAATCTCAATTTCGAAGTTAACTGGTACTTTGATTGGATACTAGTAACTAGTTTGATGTGTCTAGTCCTACTTTCTTTGATGCAGACTGAATTCTATCAGTCAGGTTTGCAATGTGGCCACCATACCACTAGGTAGCTCGCCATCACGCTGCACATTGATTTTATGATTTAGATGGTTGGAGGCAATCGGCCACAGGAATCCTTGGACCTAGGTTTTGTGCTATTCGACAAGGCCTATCTGCGACTAGTTTGAAGGAGCTCATGTCCCTTCTGAGATTCGAACCCAAACCAAAGAAAGGAATAGACACATCATACTTGTTACTAGTGTCCAATCAAAGAATCCACTACAGTCCTACAGGAGGTCAATTGCTAACCCGAATAACTCAGTGGTAACATATCTCTCTGACTGCAGGGGGCGCTGGGTGACGAAGGTTCGAATCTCAGGAGGGACATGAGTTCCTTCAAAGGTGCAGATACACCTTGCTGACTGACTGTTGAGTACCGACCAGCACGAAATCTACGTCCAAGGCTTCCTGTTGCCGACTGCCTCCAACCATCGAGTATCATCAAAAGTTAACTGGTGGATGGTGACTAGCAGTGGAATGCAGGATGCTGATTTAGTCTCATTTGGGACTCGTCTTGTGGGACCGTCACCTGAGACCGACCACTTCGACCCAATCAGTTGACGGGAAAATCTAAGACTGAATTAGATAATCTCAATTACGCTAGATAATTTTATGATCAGGACTAAATCATTGTGAAGGCTAAATGTTGCTTTGAAAAGATATTTTGAAAAAATACTTGTAGTCGACCACTTCTGAAATCTTGGAGGCGTAAGGGATAACTTTATTGCCCATTGAGTTTTTCATACAAACAAGCAGTAAATTACGGAGAAGAAACATCTCGAAGTACTTTATAAAGATGTCTAATTAGTAATTCTTATGTACATAAACGAAATATTCCCATATTGAGTCATAAGAAAAAGAAGCAGACGGCAAAGAAAATTTTCTTTTCGACGATTTATTTTCATAAGCTGCTGTGCAATCGTATTCATATATTTAAGAAAGTGGACGTCACCTTCGTCTTCGTATCCACGAACATAAGCTAGCCGTCAGAAGACATGACATCCACTCTCTCATATTGCCTCACTGCATACAGACAGACAATCACGGATATCAATTCGATTGGGACAACGTTCAACTATTAGGCAGAAGAAACACCAAGAATGCTAGAGGACTTTTAGAAGACTGGTATTCCAGTGAGTTGTCAATCAATAGACACATTGAGATAGACAAAATTTATCAACCGATAAGAAAGGAACCTCACACACAAAGAGTCGAAGTTCAAGTCATAGGAACAATCAGTTCCAATACAAGTAATTCAAAAGGTGTGAAAACACACAAAAACAACCAATCACGTCCAAGGTCACCGGGGGAGCTCACTTCAAATTGAAGTATGCACTGAAGATGTCGCCTCGTAGGGCGATGAAATCTTCGCAAATTAACTATCCAGCTCAGAGAACACAACCACATCAAAATCATCCACCTGAGCTACAAATCTTCTCTATCATATTTAAATTTAACAAAGAATTCATAAGGTCAATCAGATACTGGTGAAATTTGTCCTTGAAAAAGTGTTATGCAATTTAAGGTGTAGGTCTAGAAGGGGATGACTAGTTGGAAATCAGAAAAAGGGACAGAAGTTGGGATGATGCAATAATCAGTATGATTGTGTACAATGGATAGGAACTAGTGGAAAGGCGATAAACTGTTTTCATAAAATCTGTATGAAAGTGCGATGTTATTAGTAAACAGTGGTAGAGTGGTAATAAGGTAAGGAGATTAATACTACTATTAATAATAATAATAAACTTACACGGTAAGCCCTACCGTCTTTCCACTAATTCCTGTCCAATCTACGCAGTTGTATTGACCAGTCATTTTCTCACATTTCTGCCAACTTCTGTCCCCTTTTCTAATTTCCAACTAGCCATCCCTTTCTAGACTACGCATTACGTTGCGTAACACGTTTTTCAAGTATTGCTTTTATGGGGATTCTGTTTGACATCAGTTACCTGAGATTCTAGTGGGAAGTTGTGACCAGTGGGTTACAGCAGATTGTGAAGGTGAGGATAGTTACTCATTTAAGAAGACATTGCAAAGTGGTCGCGCTATGTCGTGCGTGAATTGGTGGAAGTTGGAATTCATAAGCTGGCCATTAGATCAGGTCCCAGTGACTGGCTGAATGGTTTATGAGCTAGCTCGCCTTGTAACCAGAAGGTCCTATGTTCGAACCTAGGCAATGGGATTTCCAGTGGTTCTCTAACTGATGTCAGGTCATGATGAAATCCTCCATCCAATTAATAAAGAGTTAAGAGGTGAGAAATAGAAACAGACTCAGGTCAAGTCAAAAGGACATATTGAAGGTCAAAATATCAATGAAGACCACTAAACCAAATAACAGAGGTAATAGTACATCTACCCAGGTTGGTATCAAAACAAAGTTTACCAAGAAAGGTGGTTTAGTCAGGGTGATGACGAATTGTTGCTTTGATCTCATGAAGGTGGTTTCAACCTTCTAATTGCTATCAAGGGCTTCCACAAACTTTAGGATTCCCCCTAACCCAACCACGTCTTATACATAGGTTTAAAAGATGCGTAAAAATCAATTTTATGTCCTTTCTCCTCTGTAATATGTTTCACAATAGAGAAGCTAGGTCTCCTGTTCTTACCAATAATGGGTTTTGAAGATTCCCTTTACTTCTGAATGTACGTGTGGACACACATCCTTACGGAGGACTCATAGATCTCTGCAAATAAGGACTGGCTTCACAGCATATTCCTAAATGGCTCCAGAAGCAAACGGAATCTCCACAACCCATTAGTGATGAGAACAGGAGACCTAGCTTCTCTATTGTGAAACATATTACAGAGGAGAAAGGACATAAAATTGATTTTTACGCATCTTTTAAACCTATGTATAAGACGTGGTTGGGTTAGGGGGAATCCTAAAGTTTGTGGAAGCCCTTGATAGCAATTAGAAGGTTGAAACCACCTTCATGAGATCAAAGCAACAATTCGTCATCACCCTGACTAAACCACCTTTCTTGGTAAACTTTGTTTTGATACCAACCTGGGTAGATGTACTATTACCTCTGTTATTTGGTTTAGTGATCTTCATTGTTATTTTGACCTTGAATATGTCCTTTTAACTTGACCTAAATCTATTTCTATTTTCTCACCTCTTAAATCTTTATGTATTTCGCATATATACACATTCCTATGACAAGTCCGTGTGTGTGATCAGATTGTACGAAATGTGTTGTGCGCAAATACACAATACACGCACGATTCAGACAAATTACGTCTTCTTATTGCTTTGTCTAACTAAATTCATAAAGGGAACTAATTCTTTTAAATAATAATTCTATCTGATTGTTTTAATTGATTCCATCACATAAAAATGTTTTCTCTCATAAGTACTTGTAAATCCCTTTTAGCTTCAACGTCAACGAAATCCCAAGTCACATCTGCCTCGAGAACCTGCTTGGAAATATTCAGGTCCAGTGAGTTTTGGATACAAATTAATTATTGTAATATACACTTTTATTATTACCTTATATGTACAAACTTTACTTGGCTTCTTTGAACAATATTTATAATATTTATCCAGCTAACTTCCACATAGACTAATTCAAGTATTGGTTATTGGGGATTTGATTGACTGGTTACAGGATTTCATCATGAGGTTATATCGGTTAGAGAACCACTGGAGTATTGGACGGCCAGTTGTTTCGTCAGTTCAGTTTGGAACTCTTCATCAGTGAGTACCCACTCCATTGTCAGGGCTCGAACTCAAGACCTTCTAATTACAAAGTGAGCGAGCTAGCTCGCTGACCATTCAGCCAGCCACTGGAACCCGATCCAATGGCCCAGTGAATTCCATTACATAGACTTAGTAAAGGATGTAAGATAGAGTGGGAGTAACGCTTCCTCTTAATAATTGGCGAATACTTTGCTTGTGTTATTTACTGGGATACGAAAATTAATCACGGCCTTTCATTACGCTGAAGTTTCGTATCTTTGAATAAGTCGGTGACCAACACCTGAAATCTGAGAATTTTCCGGTGATACATTCTAGCGATTGTGTAAGGTATTTTGATAAACTCTACTGCCCACCTTCATGGAAAAAATAGTATACAATTCACTCCATTATGGATAAGATTTTAATTTTGATAAAGTCTCACACAGTGTTACACAGTGATATTAACTGATACCCACGTTTCGACCAAAAATTATTGCCACTCCTAATCATGTCAAGTCACTCATACAAACTTTTGCTTCATTTATATACATGATTAAGATTGATTAGACACTTGAATAAAAGGCAGTATAGGATAACGTACATTGAGAAATAATAATATGAGTGTTATTGATCAATCACAATTAGATGGGAAGTAAGACGAGTGTTTTTATAGTCAAAATAATTAACTTCCATATCTCTGGTATTTGCGTTGAGTCACTTCTATTGCAGGTGTTGGGTGTAGACTCGTTGAACCAAGATTCAGTAATCAATCTTTCTCGCTCTCTACCTACCTATATTGACTTGTTGAATTTTAGCCCTACCCCACCCTATTGTGTGGTTGTGTGTTAATGCATGCAGTGCAATTGCTGAGCGTTTTCCTAAATTACTTATTTTCTCGAGGACTGTCATTCTTACCACAGCTAAATTCTTATGTTCTGCTAATCTCACCCCTCCTGATCTCCTAGTCTGACCTATGTAGTTGACCTTACTCTGAGTCATTGCAAAGTATTTTGTAAATTATATTATTTTGTTTAATTGGATCCACCGGGTCCTTTAGCCCACAGAGCTTGTTTCTGAGTGGGTTTGAGTGTCACTCTAATTCATGCTTCATTGAGAATCCTACGTCGAGAGAGTCTCAGATGTCCTCTCCTTATATGGTAAAGCTACTACAGATGCCTTATATTCCTTCTTATTTATGTTATTATTATTAGTCTCCTCATTATTTTCATTTTTCTTTTGACCTTTTTTGATCTTCCTAATGAATTTTATAGGATAGTTATTTGATACTAGCGCTTCTTCTATCAGTTTTATTTCATCATTTAGGTCCTTTCTTGTGCTACTTAGTGCTACTGCTCGGATTGTTAGACACTTAACTAAGCCTGCCTTCACACACAGATGACGGATGAGATGAATTAAAGTCTAAATATCTATTAGCAGAATGCGCTGGATTTTAATAAACACTAGTGTACAGTTTACCTTCTCCTGTCGGTTTTATTTTACAATCTAACATGGCTAATTCTCCTTGTTCATTTTCCGATTCCAATGTGAATTTTATTCCCTTTACTATTGAGGTTATATGTGTGAATAAGGTAGAATCTACACCCAACACTCACTTTAGGAATGACTCAACACCAATTGCAAGTGTTGGGTGTAGACTGCATAAAGAGGGATTCAGTAATCAATCTCTCTCGCTTTCCACCTACCTATATTACTTTTTAAAATTATTATTATTAATGCATGCAGTGCTGAGTTTTTTCCTAAATTACTTATCTTCGGGGAATCAATCATTCTAACCTTAGCCACTAAATTCTTATGTTCTGATAATCTCACTACCCGTGATCTACTAGTCTGACCTATGTAGTTGACTTAACTCACAGTCATTGCAAGGTATTTTGCAAATTATATTATTTTGTCTAATTGGGTCAATCTACGGGGCCCTTTTACCTACAGAACTTATCCTATCTCAGTGAATTTGTAGGTTTAAATGCCACCTTAATTCCTGCCTAATTAAGAATCCTATGTAGGGTTTCAGATGTCCTCTCCTTGTATGGTAAAACTAAAGATGCCTTTTATTTTTTCAAATACATGGGTCGAACCAGTAGATCAGGATAAGTTAGATTGTCAGAACATAAGAATTTAGTTTGGGCTAGAATAATTGACCCCGAGAAGATGAGCAATTTTGAAAAAGGCTCAGCACTACATGCATTAACACACAACTGCACAATAGGGTGAGAGCAGGTAAAAGTTCTTAGAAGTTATATAGGTTGGTGGAGAGCGGGAGAGTTTGATTACTGAATCTTTGTTCGTAAAATCTACACCCCAACACACACAATCAGAATGGCTCATCATCAATAGCAGTGATATGGAAAATACTACTACCAATCAAATCAAGAGATGAGAAGTTGTGGAAGGATATAAACGAAGTAGGAACGTTGTGTGAGTAACTTGATATTATTATGAGCGGCAGTGAATTGTCCTCGAAACGTGGTCATCAGTAAATATTACTGTGTAACCATGCTGTGAGACTTTATCGAAAATTTTATCCATATTGTAATTTCTCAGAAATTGTTATTTCTACTAACTATTAATTAGAGGAAGGTCTCTGAAAATTTTCATTGAAAACGCGAAGATAATTACTTCGAAGGATATCTATTTGATTACACTGTGGTTGTAGTCAACATAGGTTGCAATAGTTTTTTTTTAAGATGAACTTCCTGTACTACACAAAATAACCACTCCTCAGATTACTCCTATTCATGGAGACTTAGCTAGTTTGTCTTATTACATAGACCAATAAGTCTATTCAGAATATATTTTAAACCAGTTTTACAAGGCTACCAAATTTACACAGATAATAAACATCTAGTGCAACCAATCATTGGTATTTTCTTTTTATCCTTGTATATTAGTCTAAAATACCACTTGGATCAAGTGATATATATACTCGTAATTCAAATGCATCACGAAAACCTCAGATGAAACATATCTCAGAGTATGATCCGTATTAAACAGTAGTCATATAGTGTTTAATTTATGAAGAGCTATTTTATAATTGGTAGGTTCCCTTATTATTTTAGATTTACTTTAGTTTTACTGATTAGTTTGGTTTTGCGTTGCGCACAAATATTTGATAACACGCCTTAACTACTTAATAAATAGAGAGTAGTAGATTTACTAAGTTATAATTAATTCATGACTGCAATTTTATGTTCTAGTTTGTGAAACATTTCTTTTAGACAGTTTTTACATATTTTGAAAAAAAATAACACATTTGCAAGATAATACAAGCTCGTTTTTCTCGTGGATTCTCTTCAACTGTGTACATCCTAAACGACAAAATCAATTATATGTTACAATTTAGTGTCTGAACATACTTTTTACAATGATTTCAAGTTATAGATGGAAAGTATAGGCAAGATAATTTCAAAGATGATGTAAGTGGAAAGTTATTAAGTGTTAAACGAGTAAACATTTCTAAAGTAATTAGACAAAGGTCATGAAGACTTCAAATTTCGCTTGGAAACAAGGATGGACTAGAGACAAAATATAAGATAAAACAACAGAGTTAATTTATGCATATTATGGTGGTGTTCAGGAGGGTCGTGGGGGGGGGGTGAATAGTGAAGTAAAATTATAAAATAGATAAAATAACTTAATTTAGTAGATTTGGAAACTTCACAGTGAGTTCAACTCAGTCAGCAAGTGAAAATCAAAATCCAGATTGAATGGAATGTTGTGCCTCAGATTAGAGCGAAACACAACAGCACACGAATAAAACAATGACAGTTACTAGGTAGAGTAGTTAGAGATTAGTCACACTGTTTCCCTGTATGCAAAGGGTGGGGTTGGACGTAATTCTTTTGGATACAAAGCGTGGGTTTGAGCTTTTGGATAGCTAGCGTTTCAGCTATGTCCAGATGTATTGATTTGACTCCCTTTGATAGGTTTGATTGAATCTTGTATATTATTTTGAAGGACTTTTCGAAAGGCGCTGAATGTCCTGAGTTGACTAGATGTTCTGTCACTGAACTATAAACGCGTTTTCGCTCTCCTTTTACTAGCCAGACTGGGTAGTGTTTGCGAGCGCGTTTTCCAAGTCGGCGCATAGTACGGCCGATGTACTCAGCTCCACAAGAGCAAGTAAACTGGTATATGCACGTTGAAGTGGCCCAATGTGACAGCTTGTCTTTCGCGTTCTGGCTGAACAGTTTCTTGCAGGAAAACGTCAGTCGTAGGCTCACGGCGAAGTATGTTTTCCTCAGAGATTTGGCCAGGCGTTTACGAAGGAATTCTACTTCAATGTCACCTTTGAATTCTAGATTAAGCAGAAGTATTTTCTTTGGAATGGATTGGACTTGTTCAGAAGTCTTCTTTGATTTGAGATTCTTGTCTATGAACCTGGGTGGAAAACCTTTTTCCATGAGGGTTCTTCGGAGAATACGCAGTTTTTCGTCAATCACTTTCTCGCTGCATATCTTCCGAATCTTCTAGTAAAAAGCGTATATCAGGATCCTCTTTCTGCTTAGGGGCACGAAGCTTTGAAAGTTGATGAGTTGTCCATTTCATGTAGGCTTTTTGTAAAAGGACGTTTTCAGAGAGTTGTTGGCGTTTCTTGTTAGATGAACGTCGAGGAAGTGGAACATTCCGTCGCATTCAACCTCAAGAGTGAAGTCGATGTTTGAGTGGGCGTTATTGAAGATTTGAAGTAGGTTTTTTAAATCACAATTCTTATCACAAATAATTATTTGGAAAGCCTGCAGG